TATCAAAAATAATACTTCCTAAATTTAATGTAGTTAAACTTTGAAGTTATAAAAATAAAAATAAAATATCATTATAAACATTTAAATGAACTGGTTTGATCAAAAGTAATATTAAGAAGTTTATTAATAATACTATAATTAATAAATTATATAGGATAAAATTGTTTTAACATTTTTAAAATTTTGAAATATAAAACATTACTTGAGTGAATCTTAAAAGATCTCTATGGATACTATGTTTATTATGATTAGCTATTTTTAAGGCATGATTCCAGAGAAGTATACATGGTGTAAAATTTTGTGCATCTGCATAAACAGCACCACGGTATATGATTGATTGCAATAAATCTGGATTGTTTTCTCCTAAAATCCGTTCTCTAAAATAATAAACATTAGAAAAAAATCTATATTAAATACTAATTATTTGAATAGTATATTGCTATTTTTTTTTTTTTTTAATTAGGCAATTTACTACTTAATAAAAAAAGGCATTAATTAATAGTGTCAATTTCGAATTAGTATTTAATGAACTAATTAATTAATTATACTGGTATAGAAGGTATTACAAAATTAGAAAAACCTTTAAAAGTTAATCATTTTATAGTATTTATGGAATTTTATTTAGTATATTTAGTTCTGTTTCTTATAAGACAAACAAATTAGTTATTAAAATCATGTTTCTCAGAAGACACTGTAATAATTATCTATTATGAAAAATTATTGAAAATTTTGTTATTAAGATAAATTGAATCTTAATCTCAATAAATTAATGGTTTAAATAATATTTTCATTCAGTTAACTCTTCTAAATTTCTTATACTTCAGCATAATATGAGAAATATTCAGCTGATTACCACAAACCTATTATCTATTTTTATCAGTAACACTATTCCTGTGCTTAATTATGTGGCTTTTGCCTGGTTAATATTTTTCTTAACCAAATGTCTATCTAATAAATTCTAATTGGTTTGACAGTTATGACGACGTAGTTATTATATCCTGCCAGTTTATTCAAAAAGTCACATAATCATTGATTATCTTATAATTACAACCATTAATGATTTGATTGGCATAGTAACATTCATCATTAACAATAATGATTTACTCAAACTTTAGTCCATACATAACTCTTCTTCGTCAATAAAGACTCAAACTCCAAGATAATATCTAACAACTACATAATTGGTACTATTTTCAATTTAGGAGGTAACTTTAATTGTCACCATCTTGCATGGTTAGATTGGTGGTAACAACTACCATGGCAATGCCAACCAATAAACAATTATCTCTAATCTTAACATTCTTTATATTGGTGTTATCATTAATGTCAACCTTCTTCCTTTATAAAATTCTGCTGTTGACATGTAGATTTCTCTCAGCAATTTTTACCTGACTTGTGTGTGGTTTATTATGAAGATTATTTTTAAAACAAAACAATGGAATTTGAATAATAAATACAAATTTGTTGACAATAAATAAAACTTACCTAATAATCAGGGATTCAAAATGTATAGCTTCAGCATTGTCTTTTATATCTAATAATTCTTGTACAGTTTGACATTCAACTTTATTATTGTAACATTCAACTGTTTTGCCAATTTTTTTTTTAATAATTGGATGCTCTTCATACCTAAAATTATACACAATTTTTAGTTTTTATTTAATTTTTTTTTAAATAAAATTACAATATAATTTTTGTATAGTATGATATTCAAGGAACCTTAAAAATTCAGTAGTTTGACCAAATAAATGTATTTTACAAGAGTTAAAACTAATACTCATATAATCACAACCTATATAATTATTAAAAATAAATATTAAACATATTTAAATTTTTTAAGTTTTACTTACAGTGGCGCCGATTTATATTTCATATTATGGGAAAAAAATGCTGGAGTAAGACCCACCCATTTATAAAAAAAATTCTAGCCAAGCTCCTAATACCTTATTTTTTATAACTAAACACGGACAAGATACTACATAACAAAATAACTTTTTAAACATAATTAATACATACTTATATTATTTTATCAACAACCTACAAATATCAGAAAAAATTTATAAATATTAATATAAAAATAATATATTATAGTTATAATAGAATACATAATAAAGTACATGATCTAGCAATCTGCCATACTTTTACTACCTATACTTGATACTTACTGTTATTGTTAAATGATAATGATGTTTAAATATGATTATTGAATATAAATCAATAATCACTTATTACCACTCCCAATTATTTGACCCACCTATAAATAGTTTTAGGGAATTTACACCAGTTGATACCTGTAATCAGCGCCACTGTTTACTTATATTTTTTACAGATAGTTTGCAGCATCTCACATTTTTGTTCTAATAATCTAGAGTTCCTTAAAATTGTACCATTGAGTGTAATTACTAGTTAGTACCTCATTGTTGAACCATTGAATTGAATAGAATATTGTTAATGTCATTAAATTTAATATGATTTACAAATTAAATTTCATACCGCCTTTTCATAGCTCGAAGTAGAATATTATATCCCTGATGTAAGTCATAATGATCTTTATCATTTAAAAAAGAAGCACCTAGTAACTCTTCAGCTTCTATCTTCTCTTCTCTGGTCAAATTTAGTTGACTTTCATCAATGAGAAAATATACAAAATCATGATGAGTTCTTTCAGCTGCCACTAGAATTGGAGTTAAAGCTAAAAATAAAAATAAAAATTTATTCAAATTATTAATAAAAACAAATCAAAACATGTACATACATTGTTCATTTTTCAGTTGTTTAGCATTATACGCTATGAGTAGCTTAGCAATTTCTAAATTATCGGCTTGTGCAGCAAAGTGCATGGCTGTAGATCCACAATTAGTTTGTTTATTAATATCAGCTCCTTTTTTCAACAAATATTTAACAACTTCTTTGTGATCTAGAATCAAAAATAATATTTTATTAATTCAATACGTAATGATTTTTATTGAAAAGTAGAAAAATATAATTTACAAGCTATTTTTATATAATATTTAAAAATTTAAATTAATCGTATAAATAAAAATGTTCTATTCATTTAGTATGAATTAAATTTATGAATAATAATATTATAGTTATTATTTATAGATATTAAGAACTATACTCTTGTAAGTTTTCTAAAAATGGTTTCTTATATTTGTGTGCTGAAATAAAACAATACAATTATAAATATATACTTACTATTATGAGAAGCAATCATAAGACATGTGCTATTATATATATTAGTTATATTAACATTTGCCCCATGTTCAACCAAATATTCAACAATATTTAAATGTCCTAAATAACAAGCTGCTCGTAACGGAGATGACTTAGTTTCAGTAAGAAAATTAACATTTGCACCATTTTCAACAAGAATTTTGACTATTTCTATAGATCCAGTTCCTAAAAAATGCAAAAATTTAGTTACTTGATAACAATTTTATTTTAGATATAAACAATTTATGTTTGTAATAAATAAAATCAAATAATTGGATAATGATAGATATAATTAATTGAATTTATTTTTATACTTGGACTAATCAAACTATTTATTTCCACAAATATAAATAAACATTCTATAGAACCTATAGAACACAATAATCTTTTGACTTTTTATTATAGGGCATATTTCCCTAGTCAAGTTTTCATTTTTCAGTAGAAATCAGTAAGTTATAAGTAAGGTGTACATGATATAAAAAGTCTAAATATTAGAGTAAAGAACACACTTTACATTAAGTAGGTTTAAATTGGCAAATAAGCAGTTGAAGTTTTGATTATCTATCATATATTTTTCAATTTTTGTTTTTTGTTTAACAACAGAATGGCTATAATTATGGACAAAATAATATACTGACCAGCTGCACACCAAAGCGCTGTAGCCCCTTTGACAAGTGAACCAAAATGTACCACATCTCCTATGTTGTCCACTGCAACATTAAATCTGTTGAATAATTCCCTCACAATTTTTATTTGGCCATTCAAGCTAGCTTCCATTAGTAGCGTAAATTGCTGATCGAAGTTACTGGTATAAGTCTAAACGAGACAGAACACAATACATTAAAGAACGCAGGTATAACTACCAACAGAAATCTTTTATATAGGAATCAATATTACCCTATTGATTAAAAAATCTGTATCGACAATGTCCTCGTCTTCCATTTCAATTAATTTAATAGTTTCGATGAAGCGCATGTACAAGTATTTTTTGTCAGTACCCAATTGGTTAGCGTAGGATGAGAACGAGTGAATATGACAAGGATCATCAATACCTAATGGCAGATCTGGTCTAACTAATATGTGTCGAGACATTTTTGGGATAAAATGAACGGCAATTACTTTATCTCAGGCAAGTAAGTTCGTGTGTTCACTTTTGAGAGTTTTCTCAAATTTGATAATTCGACATTCGCGTCATCCAGTACGTAAACAAATAAATAGTAATACATAAATAAGTAGTGAACCATTAATTACTAAATGTTAGAATTTAAACGATGTGAGGTAATTAATAATTTGTGTGTGATAATCAGTAATCACTGAAAAGTGAAAAGTTACGAGTGAAGGTGAGATTAAGACTATATTATAGTAACGACTACTAGACATTGATAATCACTATAATCACGAAATAATATCATTGAACAAATACGACATAAATTAAGGATAAGAGTACTAAAGGGCATGTTGTTCGTAGATAAAAATATAAACGTGTAAATAATACTTAATCCATGATAGTACCACAGGCACGTAATATTCTCAGAGCCCAGAGGCACAGACTATCTTAGTCCTTATATCATAATACACCTATCTAAATTCTAAAGACTTAAATATATTTTTTATATTAATATTCATATTTATCTAAATAGAAAATTCTAAATCACGGTTATTGAGGATGGTCTTATAGAATCTCCTATAACATTCTGATCTATATTATGCACGTAGACCTGATGGCTGATAATAAAATGTATTATCATGTCTATAGTATTATCACAGAATGTTATATGCTATATAGTAAGATCTTAAACCATGTTCAAATTTTAAATCTAAACAAGTCCCAACTTGTATATAGTGACCACTGACCTGTTCAGACTTGTGATGTACTGCGACAGCGATAAATTGTTTAAAATTTACCGCAGGCAGAGTGTACATTTCACACTTTTAATGGTTTAAATTTTTGTTGAATATAAAGTAGTTTTATATTTTTCATTGAGCAGTCGATGCCGCGATTTAAGTAATTTAATAATTTATCTCTAGTTTTCGTAGCTAGCCAGCGCCGTGTTTTTATCTAACAGTGTTATATTAATCGTTACGACTTGTATAACATTACAATAAATTTAATTCTTGACATCAAATGCAAACGATATGGTGTCGACTGAAAGCGATAAGAATAATGACGTACAACAGTTTATGTGTCGTTTAATGAATCTTAACACCAGAAGATTGTCTGGCCAGTCGAACTCCAATGACATAGAAAATGCGACGGACACTTTTCGTTGGCTTAGGAACAATTCTCCCTTTCTTGAAGATAGTGATAAATGCCGATTGTTGGATTCAAGACTGATTGAAATCTGTTCATGGTACTGCAATACTTATTTTTCCAATGAGCCCCTGAGCTGTAGTATATTGCTACAGTTTTTGGCCAACTTCTCTGTGGGCCACGAGAGCGCTCAGCGTCAGATATTTGAAGGTTTCTGTTGCTCATTAAGGTACATTGTTCTATCTAAAATTCTTCTAACATTAGTCAAAACATTGATACATTATTTATTAATATTATTCTCATTAAATGTTTAAAATGTCTTAATTATTATTTTTTAGACATTTTATTGTATCTTCTCAAGATTCCAAGCTATTGAACAATTCAATGATGTTACTGTACAATCTATGTTTATGTGATGTTAACTTCAGAGAGAAGATCTTAAAAGATTTAAATATAGTTCAACAGATTATGACACATTGGACTTTAAAAGAATTAGAATATAGGTAAGTAGTGTGTTAATACATAATACAGGAGAGGTATTTTGTATATAATATCAATTAATTTTATAGAATAAAACAGTAATTAAATTAAACTTATTTTTAGTAAAATATTTTTAGATTCAATCTTTTTGAATTCAAAAGATTTCTTATTGGTCTATACAAATCTTCCTGATTGTTCTAAAGATCAATTAATGAACATTATCTCTATTTGGCTTGACAATTATAATGAAGAAGTATCTTTAGATGTCATTGTTGTAATAAGGAATAATTTTTTTATCAATTGTGATGTAGAAAAAATAACAAGACATGTAGTGAATGTTCTTGCTAAGGCTTCAAATGTAGAAAAATTCAATTCTGAAATAAAAAAACACACTACTCTTTTAAAAAAAGTTATGGGTAGGTATAAGATTAGTTTCATTATGATAAACCATGAATTGTATGATTGTTAAATAATAATAATTATATCTTAGATTTGTTGGTATTCATACATAAGTGTTCTAAAGATAATGATGATTCAAATGACTTTAGTCGTGTGAAGGATCTATCAGCTCTGTTTAATTCAGATGTACAAACACACAATAGATTTTGGTTCAAATCGGATCTAATACGATTGATAGCAAATATGTGTTATAACAATCAAGAACATCAAAACCTAGTAAGTACATGATATTGTAGTTCAAGTGATAATAAATTTAATAACATATAAATACATGTATAGTTTTAACATTTACAGATGCGTTCTGATAATATTATTCCCATACTGTTGGAGTGTTGTGCATTTGATGCTAAAAATCCATGTAAGTTTCATTTATTAATATATTTAATGTTAGGCAATTGAAGTTTATTTGATTGTATACTATTTTTGATAAAGATTAAATATATTAAAATAATAGGTTATGTACAGAATGAATGAGTATACTTAATAAATTTGCCAATTAAAATTATAGAATATTACCATTAGCAAATTTTTTAATTTTGTTCCAGTGATGCGAGAATGGAGTTTATTTGCACTTAGAAATATTTTAGAAGGAAATATGGATAACCAAGATTTTGTGGCTAATATAGATTCTGTTGGATCCGTTGATCCTGAGTCATCAGTTACACTAACCGATACACTTAAAATGGCTTCAATTAAGAATTCTATTTCAGATGGCGACACTATGTTCATCTAATTTAAGGTGGATTATTATATCAATTATTTTTTAATGAATAAACTAAATAAAATTATTTTCTGATGTGAAAAGTTTCTCATCCACATGAAAAAAGAAATTGCAAATGTTTGCTCCTTGGTACTTAATTACTTACAATGCTTACTTACTGTAATTATTGAAAATATCTTAACAGAAAACAAAACTTTTCAGAACACGTTTATATTGTATTATTTGTTTATTTATTAATTAATTCTATTGGGAAATGTTAAAAATAATAAATAGATAATTTAAAATGTTTAATAAAAAAAAATATTTTTATTTAATAATTAGTATTACTGAATGAATAATAACAGAAACTAGCAGTGAAAACGTCATTACAATATTTATGGCTATGAACTAGCTCGAGAATAAGTGATGCAACTTGTTTGCCAGTTAATAAGCATTGTAATTTAGATTACTGGTTAGAGAAGATAAGATCTCTTATTTGAAATAGAAGTTAGAATAAAATTATTTGCGATATAGAATGAGTGATATGAATTTTTCTCCAAGTGAAAGATATTGACTGACATTTGTCAACAATAAGGAGGAGCCTGATAGAGTTTAACTGTAAGATTAAATTATTACTATTACTTTGAAGTATAAATCAGTAAGTTGTCTATTGAGTTAATTAGGAAGAAAATGTTCAGATCATCAGCTAAATAGTAAAGATTACTATTCAGAATAATCTTTTAATTTTGTTGATGAATAGTGTGAAAAGAAGTGTAGAAAGATGGCTACACTATGCGATCCTAGAAATTATACACACTATCTCAGATTTACATTCATAGATTTTAATACGTTGAAAATTGAAACTCTATGGTCAAGTATGATTCTAACCAGGATAGAAAATCACTTAAGTCATATTAAAAATATTATAAATTATTAATAAAAACAAAAATAATTAATAAATATTATATTATTTATTCGTGAAAAATTGGTAAATATTAATAATAGGTTATCTGAAAATTGAAATTAAAATAACTTAATAATAATAAATTTTCAAAATCAAAGTGTATTTCACTATCATTACAACTATTATTCATTGTACTTTCATTATCCATTGAGTTAAGAAGGAATACCTTCGGCTTTTATTTTGAAACTATTCATACCTATAAGAACAAAAATGATAAATAAAATGAATTACTGTGTATTCTTACCTCTATTTTTCCTGTAATTACATATTTATTTAAATTTTGGATTTATGAATTTTTAAGTATATTTAAGGACCATATTTTCAAATTAAAACAACCTTTATTGTACATTATGAATCAGATTATTTTTTAAAAAATGTTGACGTATTATCTTAACTGAAAATTAAATTTTGAATGAGTTGTATCGGTTATTAAAATATAGAATTGACCAAGAATAATATCTATTAAGAATATGTATTAAATGTTAGATTAATATTACCTAGTAATTACTATAATTTTCAAATCATGATTCTATAATATTATCTATATCTATTATAATTATTCCTTAATGCTTAAAGTTAAAGTGAGTGTATACAATAATAGTGAGCTACTTGATATTTTCTTTGCTATATGGAAAAATATTGAATCATATTATATATTTGTAATATGATGATTAAAAAAAAAAAAAAATCAAGAAAGTTACTATAGTGACATACATCTTTCCGTGTGTTGCGGGGTCGACCAGTTCTTCCAGGTTGCTCCGGAGACACTCAGCCCCTTTATATAACCGTGGGGTTGTCTCTTCCGGGCAGTAGTCCCGGAGTCCCGGATAGCTCCGGGGGTCCTACCCGGGGCGCCATAATGAGTGACCGCCGCGGCCAGAGCCCGACGGATTATCAACTGAGTCAAACCCCTTCTACTAAGGCGGTACTCCCACTATAGTGGGAGTACTATACTGTACTATACTATACTATCCCACTATACTCTCCACTACAGTGACATACAGTGGCAATTTTGTAATGACAACCAAAATCAGATTATGAAAGAAAAATAAGAGTAAGCATATTAAGCGAATCACTCTGAATAATAATCCTCATAACAAAATTATATTCATACAAATTATTATAATTAAATATTATACTTTTTATCCAGATGGAAAAGTCTTTGATTTCAGTGTATTTGGTATCATATTTCACATTTGTATGATGCTTACTACATAAAAATAACCGTGGCCATTTGTAATCTGTAAAAATATTTATATTGTAGACTTAGACTTTTAGTAGTTTTGAGTTATAACATACTCAATCAATTTGTCAAGCCCGAGTAGTCTACAACCAAGTCAAATGAATTATTCAAAACATCAAAATTGTTATTTATATAAATAATTCTAAAACAATAATACACAATATTAACCCACTATTACTATTTGAATTAAAAATTATTTTCAACTATATAAGCTTGGAAATTTTGTTAGGTATGTTAGATTAAGTTAAATACAATATTAAATAGTTTTATTCAGCTCTATATAAAGTAATTTAATTAAAATTTGATTAGTCACAAGATTTGATTTAAAAGCTTAGTTTAATACTTATTCATAATTCAACCCACCACTAATATATTGATAATACAAAACACACTTGTTTTATACAATTTTTCAGCTTTAATATAGAAACCTTTATAATTATGTCTGTATATTACACTTTTATTTATAATAAAACCAAAAAGCCTAACACAAAACTCATGAAAATTTTTTGAATTTAGATCTGCAAATAAAACATTTAGTTTAGAACAATATTTTTTTAATACTTATTTTGTATAAAATATTTAATACAATCAATCTTACTTAAACTTTATACTTTCCATTGCATTTTCCACATTAAAATCATCTATTTCAAGAATATTGAGTTTTAAGTAAATATTATTTTTATCTTGATGCCAAGTGCATACAGGAATGATTGACTGTTTATTAGTATTGCATGTCAAACAAATGTTTTTTTGTTTTTCTCTAAGTTTCTGTTTACAATTATTTAGCATACATATATCTTTAATCAGAGTTATATTATCAATGGATCTAATTTTATTAGTTTTAACTGAATCAATATTAATGTTATCTTTAAAAGATTCACTTTCGATTAATGGTGTTATATCTGTAATAGTTAAAGAATCTTCTTTTTTAACATCCATAATATCTTGGTCTGTACCTTTAAAAATGTAATAGGTATGCTTAAATACTGTATAAGCTTAAAAACAAATAATTTTTAATTTTAAGTATTGACAATAAAATAATTTATTATACCTATATAAAGTTTTAATTTCTATTTTCTAAATTATTATATTATTATCTATTTTTAAGAATTATAATAATACTAACATTGAACAACTTTCAAGTTTGATAATCTTATCAATATGTATGGACACTTTGTATAATATATACAATATTTTTGAAATGTTGGATATTCCAATCTTTAAAAGTAATCTTATTTTGAGGATGTTACCCCGCATGGGTTATCTCTAACTTACGAGTGAATAACATGGCAAATCTATACTCAACAATCTATGTTTAACTTTGGTACTTTTAATATTGGAATGAATCCTTATATTTTTTTAGATATTTTTAATTTGAAGTAAATTATATATTGAATAATATATTAAAATTTAAAAATTTTCACTTGAAAATTTAAATTTAAAAAGAAAAACAACTTTAACTACAATTTTTTTTATAATATTAAGGCTCGATAGTCAATTCATTTTAATATTAAAATAACAAAGTTAAACATAAACTGCTGAATATAAAATGTACATACTTTTAAGATTGAAAAATATGTAAAAAATATAAAGTATCTTTTTAAGAATTAATAATTATTACCTAATTCTATAACTTATTGATTACTTCTCCAAAAGTTGCAATTCTGAAATCATCAACAAATTCTTGCACAATTTTCAATTTATCAGGACGCATATCTCCAATATAAAATTTATTTTTATCAACAACATATGGAATACTTTTATCATTTTCTTCAATAACATTTGCATTACATTCATTGTTAATTAAATTTTAACATAATATAGACATTTGAATATGGTCACAGTATTGACTGATTTTTTTTTGAATCTCTAACTTAACAGCAATATCTTTGTCATATAAAATCACTTCATAGAGACTACCGTCAGTTAACATTGTTGATGGAATAACGTCAGTAACTTAAAATTAAAAATAGATTAAAAATAATGTTTATTAACTTTTAAACATAGTGGATTTTTAATCATATCAAATAAATAATCTATTAGTTCATTTAACTTATTATCTATTGATAATTTATCTTTAACACTACTTAAACTACATTCAATTGCTTAAGTAGTTTTGAAGAAAAATTAAAATCAAATGTTTTTATAAAAATTAAGTTTTTAGCAAACACCTAAAATGTAATCTTTTATATTATTCACAAACAAATAGAATATTTGATCTATCATAATACCTGACATTTTCAACAAAAACCAAAGTGACATTTTGGTTCAGATAATAATATATAATCAATGCTAATACCTACTATAGGCTATAGTAAAATATAGTTTTATAATATCTAAATAAAATAAATAAATACAGCGTAATTTATTAAAATAAATTTAATTTATTTTTATTATTAACACAATAGATAAAGATAATATAGATTTGAATTTTAGAATTTAGTATTGATTAATTATTGATTTTTTTTTTTTTTTTGAATTCTTCAATATTTTGTATGATATGTGGAGATTCAATTATATCATTTTTCAACATACGTTTAATGAACTGAGGGTCAATTAGCTCTCTTGACAAGCACTCTTCGTAAAATCTAAATTAAAATAATATAAGTAAATTTTAAAATACAGATAAATTAATGTTTTATAAACCAATAGACGTATTTATTAATAAATATTCAATAGACTTTATTGAATATAGACGAATAGACCATAATTATTCTGTCAGTACAACTTACAACTTTAGGCTTGATTCCATTTTGGAGTGTATATAAAGAAATAACAAATGTTACGTTCAGTCACATGTAATTGGCCTTGGATCTGGTAAAAATAATGACTTTTTTCTTTCAAAGTTGGTAAATTATTTTTAATTTTCATATAAGGAAGCTGAAATGAGAATATATAAATGTATATTACATAATAATTAATGTTTTATAGTTATTTCCAAAGAATAAATTATTTATATTATTCTAATCCGTTAAATATTAAAGTTTTAATAAATGCATATACATTACTTTTTTGTCCGAAATAGCTTTTTCTAGACTACAATAATCTTTAACAGAATAAGGGAATAATGGTATTTCATTTCACATAGTTTATCGTCTTCTATTAAACCATCTGCAATTGAAAAATATTTATTTAGTTATATATCCAATAAAATATGTGAAATCGATGCTGATCCAAGGTATATATATTAATAAAATATGTATTCATAAAGGCTCAAATTAATATTTATTATTTTCCATAACATTTCAGACTTTTTGTTTTGTCTTTAGTATATTTTAAAAATGTTTCCTAATGATTCCTAAAGCAGCATAAAAAAATAGTTAAGTTAAATAATAAATAATTTATAATATAGTTATAATTAAATAACTATATTACAGAGTATTTCAAAATATTATGAAATTACTTTAACTACCTATATTGTGAACAAAATTATATAGGTACCTGGACTTTTTTTTCGTAATTATTTTTTTTTTTATTTTTTTTTTATGGATTTCGCGAATAAATTGACCACCCGAATTGAATGATACAATAGCTGCATGGACCCTAATATTGTATGATTGCTTTTGGGTGAAATTTATTCGTTTACCAGCAATATATTTGTTGATGACGCTATTAAATTGCTTACATCAGTCTTGTGCCGCTATCCACTCGGGTCGCACGTCCGCCGCTCCGCACACTCCGCTGTAACCAGGGCCGTGTTAAGGGGGGGCGGCAAAGGGGTCATTTGCCCCCGGGCGCCACACAGCTTGGTAAAATCAAGGGGCGCCTCGAGCTTGAGAAACCGCTGTTGCCTGTTGGTGACTCCTCAATTTATATTTAATAACAATTTTAATGAAAAAATGACGATGATTATTTCCTTAGTTAAATGTTTAGAAATATATTTTTATTGTACCGATAATAAAATAAAAATTAATCGAATTCAATTTTATGTAGGTACTAGGTACTAACAATAATGATATAATAAATTGGTGAACTGGTCACTAACTTCTTATCGCGAGTTATTTATACTCGCACGGGTTTTTCGATGAGAGACTGCTGTCCCTGCTTACCCTGTCTATCTAATTAGTGATTAATTTAAAATTATATTTATTTTCGATAAATAAATAAATTACGTCATCTACTGACACAAGTCATTATAAATTGATAAGTTTTCATATCGCAGTATCATCATTCCGCATCCGGCGTCCGTCCGCGACAGTCCGTCTTCCCTACGTCTGTCACACCGTACGCCATCTTCCACGTGACTAGCGTCCTCGACGCGCTCCCGCCGTCGCCAGACCGCGCTCTGGCACCACCACGGCAACATTATCCGGCTCCCTCCCGCAACCCGCTGGCACATTCAAACTGCCCGCACGATACAGCGGCTTGTCTACTACTCGGCACGGCGTCCAAGCCAGCTGAAAGCCGTCAACTCCAGTCTAACATGGGCAGACGCAAGCACGTGAAGAGGCCAAACCCCTCGCCGACTCCCACGGATCACAAGAAACAAAAACAACAAGGTTGCCAACGCAGTGCACCTCCGTCCCCTATGCCGACCGAATCCGACTCCATCTCCAGCGATTCATTTGAAAGCAGCTCCGCTTATAGTCAAAGTTCACGCTCCACGTCACCTACTCCTCCACCTCAAACCATCCAAAAGGAACGCATCCCACCTATAATCGTGGACCCGACCCACTGGGCTTCGGTCGCACCTATGATCACGCCTTCATTCACTCAAGACAAACTCACAGCCAAGTTCAGTCAGAACAACATCAAGCTCCAAGCTGCAGACACAACCACCTTCCGTTCAGTACAAGCCGTCTTGGAAAACGCCAACATACCCTTCCATACCTTCTCATTGCTGACAGAACGCCAACTCAAAGTACTGCTCAGGGGCGTCCCATGTCACCCTACAACACCGAGGATACCGTAAAATCCGAGCTCGAATCACTAGGATACACCATCTCGCATGTGCGCCAATTCCTGAAAGACGGAAGGAAGTTGCCGATGTACATGGTGTGTCTCCCTAACACCCAATTAAGCAAGAACATCTTCAACCTATCCAGTCTATTTTACCTAATCATTCGCGTAGAGGCATATAAAACATCAGGACCATCCCAGTGCTTCTCTTGATCATCATTCATATTTCAAGTGTCTAATTGTAAACTACCATATCATCATATTCAATCATCAGATCAATCATCACTCATCAACATCAGATCATCATATTTCGTTCTATTTCATAAGTTTGTTAATTAATCACATCAATTGTAAACTACCAGTTCACACCAACTGCACAAATCGAACCTCACTCCAGCTCTCCACGCTGACTCACTATTCTGACGGATCAACTCGCATCTATCCGGTAAGTAGCCAAAAATCTTATACACCCCCCCCCTCTACGACCACGAGGCTCAGTCACCGGTGGGTGACACTGCCGGGTCTCGCACCGTAGCGTAGGCAAGCCACAACACGCCGATCATGGATAACCGTAGCAAAAAACGCGGAGCCACTCCTCCACAAATCGTGTCTAAGAAAAACCGACACCAATCCCCTCTGCCTCTACTAAAACCACCATTGTCCACGGTCAAAGAAGATCGAAACACAGCGTATTCACCACCTCCCGTAACGACTAATAATGTAACCTCCGCTCCAGTTCCGTTCACTACTACTAGACAACGCGATGCTCCAGCCTCACCATCCGTCTCTGGTGAATCTTTGTCGGGCGACTCCTATGCTTCGTCGGACACTGGAGAAAGCCTAGTCTCTACCAAATCAAATTCTGTTTTACTTAAGAAAGCCAAGATTAGCATACCACCGATTTTCATTAAAAACTCCGTTGATTGGCGCAGAGCTGCACCAAGTGTTTTTAAAAATTCTGACCTCACCCCTGAAACTGTCTGTGCGCAAACTACCTCTGATGGATCCATTATTGTGAAAACTCGCGAACCAACTCACTACAGACTACTTCAAAAAATCCTACTAGAAATGGAAATACCTTTTCAAACATCAAAACTGCCAGAAGAACGAACTTTAAAAGTTGTACTGAGGGGCATCCCCATTTATATTACTCCTGATGATTTAAAAAGCGAACTAGAATTATTAAACTTCGATGTCAAGCTCGTTAAACGTTTTGGTCCACCAAACAAACCCATGCCAATCTGTCTAGTCGTACTTGGTAGTGGCACAAATTCCAAAGAAATTTTCGAGCTGAACGACCTATTCTTTATAAAAATCTCAGTTGAGACCTATAAGCAATCAGGCCCCTCACAGTGCTTCGCATGCCAACGAATTGGCCACGGTTCTTCTAACTGTACCCATCCCCCTAGATGTGTAAAATGTTCAGGCGAGCACAAAGCCAGTAACTGTCCGAAAACCATTGACCAAGATCCAACTTGCTGTAACTGCGGTGGGAGTCACACCGCAAATTACCGTGGCTGCCCGTATCTTACTCAAGCCACAATCGCCAAATCTGCCCAAATATCCACTAAGCATCCAACGCCAATCCTGGGAGCACCAGTCACGCAACCAATCATCACAGATCTCACACAAATGGACTACGCTACAGCAACTAAATCCAAGGAAACAATCAGCAACGAACTAATCTTAGCCCTATTATCTGATCTCCTCACGGTCATATCTACAACAAACGACCCCAAAGAAATGCTGCTATCCACAATTAAGTCCTTCTTGACCCTCTTCGGTAAACAAAAATGAACACAAATCTAAAAATTTTACATTGGAACGCCAACGGCATTTCAAAACGAATAAACGAACTCAATGCACTAGCCTCCTCAATCAAACTTGATATTATTTTAATCGGTGAAACACACCTAAAACCAAACTTAAGCCTCAAAATCCCAAACTACTTTACCTACAGAAACGACCTGCCGTTACGACCGGGCTCAAAAGCCCATGGCGGCACTGCAATTTTGGTTCATCGTAATATTATTCATCAATCAATTCAAATAAATACTAAACTCCAATCTACTTCCATTTTAATTAAAATCAACAACAGTAGCTTGCTTGTCTCCTCGATCTACAAATCTCCCTCGTCTACCTTAGACCCTTCTCACCTGGACCTTCTCACCAACAGTGCTGACAATTTCGTAATTGCTGGTGACTTAAACTCTAAGCATCCACTCTGGAACAGTCGTAAAATTAACTCTGCAGGAATGATATTATACAATCACCTTCAGCAAAACAACTACTCAATATTAGCGCCTGACACACCAACCCATTTTCCAAACTCATACAAATACAGGCCAGATGTACTCGACATTGCCATAATCCGCACCACTCTATTAATTCAACTCACAAACCTCAATGAACTTTCATCGGATCATAATCCAATTCTACTAGAGCTATCTGACTCGCCAATTAAAACCTCCCCTCCATCGCCAAACCTTTCCATCAATTGGAAAAAATTCTATCAAATTCTTAGTGCGGAAAAATCCAGTGTCAATCCCTCTATGAACACCAAGGAAAGCATTGACAGCACCATTCAAAACTTCACAAACTCTATACAATCTGCACTAGACAACAGCTCTTACGTCCGAAATCCCAAAAAGCGCCAATCTATCATTCCTACTGAAATTCAGCTAGAAATCTGGGCCAAAAACCGTTTACGCAGAGAATGGCAACGGACCCGTGACTCCACGACAAAAAGGTTACTAAACTCAAAAATACTTTGTATAAGACTCATGCTCCGGACCCATAGACAAGATGAATGGGACAAATATATGAACTCCTTAAATCAAAATGAAAAATCAATATACAAACTAAACAGAAACTTATTAAGGAAGAAACCAGCCACCCACCCTATCTTAGGGCCCAGTGGTTTGGTGTACTCAGCTCAGGAAAAAACAGAAATTTTTGCAGATTCCCTGGAACGACAGTTGACAACTATTCATGGACCAAATCTCCCGGGAGTTCAAGCCAGTATCTCAACGCTCCAGAAATCAGTCACAAATAGTTCACCCATCTTCACTACTCCGGGTACAATCCAAAAACAAATCGACACGCTCGTAAAGAACAAAGCACCTGGATGGGACCAAATCACAAACACAGCCCTGAAATTTTTGCCCAAAAACAAAATACTACAACTAACAAAAATTATCAATAGCTGTTTTAAATTTTGCTACTTCCCTAACATATGGAAACTATCTCATATAATATCAATACCAAAACCCGGCAAAAATCTCCAACTACCGGAAAGCTATAGACCTATAGCCCTTCTCTCCTCTCTCTCAAAAATTTACGAGCGTTTAATCCTTCAGTTTCTCCAAGAATCTTTAGCTGGCAAAATAAGGGACGAGCAGTTCGCCTTCCGTCAAAACCACTCAACTTCCTTCAACTTACCAAACTAATAGACCAAATCAGCGACAATCTCAACCAAGGTATTCAAACAGCTGCCATATTTTTTGACGTCGAAAAAGCCTTTGATACTGTCTGGCACGATGGACTTCTCCACAAGATGATGTCCATGGACATTCCTCTACAACTTATGAAAATTACCGAATCTTTCCTCTCGGATCGTACCTTTTCTGTTAAAATTGAAGACCAAAACTCGTCAGTAAGGAAGGCAAACGCGGGCGTGCCACAAGGCTCATGTCTTTCCCCTACGCTCTTTAATATTTATACTAACGACCTACCTACGAATACAAATTCTCGAGTTTCTCTGTTTGCGGATGACACAATGTTTTATTGTTCTAACCATAATGCGCGTTTTGCAATTTTACAACTTCAGAAACAAATTGACCTGGCATCGAAATGGTTCAAAAAATGGCGTCTTCGGATTAACGAGTCCAAAACTACAGCAATTCTGTTCGGCCGTACAAAAACAATAAACTTAAATAATATCCAAATAAATAACATTCTAATCCCTTGGTCCAGGAGCATAAAATATTTAGGGGTAA